CGGAAGGCCTGGAGGGTGGTGAGGGTTCGAATCTCCACGGGGAGCTCGTTCCAGAGGGACTTGAGGCAGGAGAGGGAAGACTTCCTTGAAACCACCTGGATCACAAAGGTGTAGTTCTTTCTGCTGTTATTTGGCCTGGGTAAAAACTCTGATTCACTAGGCCATGAGTCAGCAGCTTTTATGATTAAGGCAGAACAGGGCTTCCAAAGAGCCATCCCTTCTTTTTGGAAAGACATTTGCATTCTGCTTCTCTCTGAAGCAAGGAATGTCACCAGACACCCTTCCTAAATTGAGAAGAAAGCTTCCCTTCCCTCTCCTCCCTCTTCTGGCTGACATTCTGAAAGCATGCATCGAGTTGCATGTGTTGTTTTAAAATTATACTGCGGAGCAGGGGTGAAATTCAGCAGGTTCTGACAGGTTCTGGAGAACCGGTAGTGGAAATTTTGAGTAGTTCGGAGAACCAGCAAATACCACTTCTGGCTGGCCCCATAGTGGGGCGGGAATGGAGATTTTGCAATATCTTTCCCCCAGGAGTGGCGAAGGAATGGGGATTTTGCAGTAACCTTCCACTGCCACACTTGTTTTTACTCCTTGTTATCTTCGGTGGTAAGAGAAAAGGAAGTATGTACAAGAAAAATCCCTCTCGCAAATATTTACGGATACTAAACAGGGTCAGGCGTGGTTAATATTTGAAAGAGCCTCTGGGCTATTATCGGAGTTTTAGGCTAGACCAGGAAATAAGAAAACATCCTGGAAGAATGCAGGGGTAAACTGCTTCTGCATTGCTGCCAAGAAAATTATATAGCCATATTAACGAAGTCGCCAAGAGTCACGTTTGACTCAAATGAGACTTTATCTTTTAAATGATTTCTCTTTAAATTCTTATTGCTATATAGTTTGGTGCCATATAGCCTGAGATAATGCTGCTATTGGCTTAGATTTTTAACCTAACCTTGGCACAGTATAGGTTAGGCTGTCTCAAAAAAAAAAAAAGCTAACAATTTACAATTCAATGTGTACAAGCAACTAATATTGCTATGTATCTTGCCTATCCTCCAAGGCAGGGTTTCAAACTGTTTAATGTGTAGCGCTATAAATAAACCCCTTATAAATTAACATTTTAAAAAGGAAACGCCCAAGGAAGAGATTAATTAAAAAAAATAAATCTAAGCAAGGAATATTCAGCTTTCTCATTCCCTCCCACCACTGTACCACTGGAAATCAACCTGCAAAAGAATGAAAAAGAATAGAGGCTGTTACTTAATATCCACAAAATGTACCTGGGAACGAAATATACTCTGAGGTTAAGTTCCTAATAATGGTTGTTCAATTTACTCTGTAGATTTGAAAATTAAAATAACTGAAAATGAAAAAAAATAAATGATACCCAACTCTTTCTCCACATCTGCAGTTTCCCCAAGTCATTCTGGGTCCTTCAAACATTTGAAATTTAAAAAAAAAAACCATATTTTTCTTAGGTTGCAGGAAAAGTATAACCATAATTTTCAAGAGACTCTAGCAAAACATTTTTTTTAAAAAAATCCAACAATGGAACTTTTTAAAAATTAAAACTGGTTATATCTAGCCATAATTCTTGTCTTTTTAAAAGTGTATGTGCATGTTTGTGTGCATGGATTTGATTTTATTTAAAATTGTATAGAGAAAATATTATGTTCCTCTGCAGATATGTACAATCTAAGCGTAATCTTCTTGTGCTGAAGGCTTTGTCTGTCTGTGAATCTGAGAACAGTTCATAGTCGGGAAGAGAATTAGCTGTAGTTAATGTGAAAGTTTTGATGGATTTCTTAAGTCAACAGTGTTTACATATAATCTTTATCATTTGCACGATCAATCAATATAGAATATCACATTCAGTTAAAGCATTTGAAGGGGCCAGCATGGGAGACCCCAAAACCACTTCCCCACCCTACCCCCAAAAAAACTCTATGAGAGGGATGTGCTTTCAAAATATGAGAAAATGAAAGAAAATAGGTGTTTCTTCAGTTAAGCAGATATTTTGTTCTAACCAAATCTGTAAAAATATTTTTTTTAAAGATTTCAAAGGTAGTATTTTAATTGTTTTTCCATGTATATAATTGTCTGCATGATTATAGCATCATCAGTAGAATATAAATAACTTTTCTTCTTTATGACTTGAAAATAATTATGTAACTTAAAAGGAAATTCCCAACTTGTAAATGAAACTTGTCCTGCATACTTTTTTCTATCAGTAGTATAAATTCCTTTTCTTCACTGATGTCTTGGAAGAAGGATGTTTTCTCATTGTCATCTCCAGATCACTTGATTTTCTTATAATTTTATCTTCTACGTTGAATTTACAAATATGACCAAAATGTCTCCAAGTTTTTGTGTGTTCCTAAGAGAATAAACCCAACGTGCACATTCAATAGCTTTATCCCTTAGGTTCAAGTCAGAGCTCAGGTCGTTAATTTTCTAAACAAGATAAGCAGCCAAAAGGGTTCTTCCACTTTTCTTTGACACTCCTTTCATCCTTAAATAATGTCTCCTGTTAACCATCCTGTAAATCTGCTAACTCAGCCTCTCCTTCAGAAATATTCTTTTAAGCCTTGTTTATCTCTAGATTATTCCTTGAAGGCATATCATAAGCTTTGTTGATTACTTGTTGATTAATCTGCCACTTGCGCTGACATTTCCATAAATTGTTTATCCATTTGCTCAGATATATATCTGCTATGTCTTTAGTTACTTCCACCGTCTGTTTATCCCGTTCTGTCTCCAGTTCTTTTTAAAGTTGTTTCATTAATTGTGTCCATATCATGTCTGTGGACAGTGGACGGTCCATTGCTGCTTCTTCATTACTGGGAAGAGGTGCCTCCTCAACCTCCTTTAGGTCTTTCAAATAAGCTTTGATTCCCTTTTCCTTGCAGAGAATCTCTTTCCTTAACATCCTGCTTAAATTATCTTACTGTTTGATAAAAAGGGCAAGGAGTCTGTTCATAATTTGGGCTAAATATATTGTAGTTATGGCAAATAGCTAACTTTTCCGATTGGACGAAGCCACAGCAGCTGTAAAGTTATCAGAAGTCAACACAGAAGTCAGGAAACCATAATAGAGCCGAGGTGGCGCAGTGGTTAGGGTGCAGTACTGCAGGCCACTTCAGCTGACTGTTATCNCTTTTACATGTTTGACAAACTAAAATAAATAAATAAAAATAAAAATATTATTCAGGAAAGTCACCAATATTGAATATTTTAATATCAAGCCATGAATTCCCTCCCTCACCATACAAGTGGGTAGCCAGCAAGCTTCTACTTAAAACCTCTACAAACTTAACTTGAAATGTTAAGCTCTTGTCAATTTGAATCTTAATTCTAGGTTTATAGCTCACACAGTAGTGTTTTTTTTAATAAGAAATATCTTTTGCGATTAGGAAAAATATGTTACTCATCTCCAATTGCTGACAGTCCAAGCAAAATATCCTATCATCAGGAGGAATTGAGTTAAAAACCAAGCCAAAATAATAGAGATAATGCTGCAGGAGTGAATTTACTTCTAAAAGGTTCAGTTTACCATTATTACTTAGTCCACCCCCTGCCATCTCAACTCAAGTATCATGAGACACTAAAGTGGGTTAGTCTAAATTAAGCCTTGGTTTCAGAATAGTTACAACCTTATTTCAGGCTGAAGGCAGACTGCATCTAACTATAAAATGGCTATCTGTACTTGTAAGAATAAAGCTAGAAAAGAGCAGCCAAATGATCAAGAAACTGAAGAGATTTTCTCTAATTAAATGTTACAATGTCTGAAGTTGTTAGCTTAGGGGAAAATGATGAAAAAAAACCAGGGAAACATAAAAGGGGAAGAAAAAAATGATATATAGAACACAGGTTATGAATAGAAATGTTTTTCCCCTTTTTCAGAGTACTAGAACTTGGGGTCATCCAAGGAAGCCATGTGACTGAAAATAGAGAAAACTGATTCCTGTTTGGGGGAACGTAAAAGGCGTTATTGTCCTAAGTCATCATTCACTGTGGGAATAAAATGCTGGACCAGATAAGCCTAGCATATCTCTTATTATTATTTTAGCTGATATTGTACTACAGATTTATTTAATTTATAATCTGTTTAATAAAATCTCAAGCCCTACTGGTATCTTTTATATGTACTGTAGTAAACTCATCTCAAATCTATGAGTCCAGCTTTCCCTACATATGGCATATAGAATTTTACATTGATCTCTGCTGCGATTTATTTTAACTTGGCTGAATTTCTGAATCTGATTTCCAATCCAGAACATCCTCAGTTTGATACTGTTTACAAATCTGATGACTATTTTTCATTCTATGAAAAAGTACGAATGTTTTGAACCAAACCAAGTCTAGAACAGAACCCTGCTACACTTTTGTACTGAATGTACAATCAACAAAAGAAAGGTACAGAAGACACAAAACCTAGAGGGTAAATGGTCTTTTGCTTCATAGTCTTTAATTCCAACGTTTAATGGATATGCTTAGGATTTGTCAGTTGTTTGTTTGTTTTATTTTAGATTTACTTTGCATCTGCTTTAGTAGATTTTAGTTAAAAGGCAGTATAAAAGTTTGGCTACAATACACTAATATTTTATAAACTTTAAATTCAGTTTATAAAAATAATAAAGAATAAAAGACCCATAGGACTTGCCTGCTTTGGAGATCCACTCCATATAGCCATTGAGCTCCCGTTCAATTTGCTGTTGTCTTCTCAGCTTCAGAAATGCACGCCGATTTTCTACTCGCTCCCTTTCTTTGGCAAACTCCCTGTAGTCAGAGATAGAATAGCAATGCTGAATGGTCTCTGTTACAGCACTTAATTTGCAGGAAGGCATCACAGAAGAAATACAAAGGCAGAAATAACCCAGGATTTGGGGGTGTACAATTGCCAGTAAACTGCATTTTCTTTACAGGACTGAAAAAAGCTACCATAAGCACTAATACATTTCCTCTATGGCAGATGTACTAGATACTTACCCAGAAAGCACCCCTAGCACAAGGTTGAGCATAAAAAAGGATCCAATGATGATGAGAGGGATGAAGTATAGCCAGTTCCAAGCACTCCCTGAGGCATCATTGCTCTGGAGGAAAAAAGAGGATGAAGTCATTGGATACTGAAGTCATGGAGTAGATTTTTCATCAAAGTCATTAACTCATTCAGGGTATATTTTAAAGGATAGGAACAGTCTATGGGCTGATGTGATATCAAATCAGACTATCGTCACAAGCACAAACAGATTACAAACATACAAACTTAATAACTTGTCAACCTCCCATCAACTAGCCAGTTAGTTTCCCAACTAGCCATATTCAATTACAAAACTACAACAGTGCAACACTGTCTAGATACAGTTTAGTTTTCTAGTTGTCTCACACTCTTCCATTCTAGTTCTCTTCCACAGTTCTTCCATTAGTTCTTTGCTCACTAATACCAACCTAATAGCCCCTCCCTCTCCTACAGAAATATTTAAAATAAATTAACCCCTAATCTCAGGTTCTCTTATCAGCCGTCTGACAAAAGCACTTGACTGGGTATCAGTATGGATACCCACCAGGAAGCTATAACAAAGATATTGGAGTGAACATTTTGAAAGGAATATTGGGAAGATGGTCAAATTAAGCAGGTACTATTTACTATATAATGAGTCAGAAGATGGAAGATGGAACACCAACCACTTTGTACCATTCCTAGTTTAGAACATGAACATAAGGTACAAGATAGCAGGGAATGACAGCACAGTGAAATAATTTGAGAGAATTGATTAATTTACTATTATAGAATTTTGGAATTCATAGCCCCCAAACTCACAATAGACTATTTCTCTTATAAACTGATCAGAGTTTGCATATACAGGTAGCCCTCGATTTATGATAATTGAACCCAGAATTTCTGTTGCTAGGCGAGGAAGTTGTTAACTGAATTTTGACCCATTTTATGATCTTTCTTGCCACAGTTGTTAGGTGAGTCAGCGTAGTTACTAACTTAGTAATACAGTTATTAAGTGAATCTGGCTTCCCTATTGATTTTACTTGTCAGGAGGTTGCAAAATGGGATTGCGTGATGCTGGGATACTGCGTCTGTTATAAATGAAAGTCAGTTGCCAAGCATCTAAATTTTGATCACGTGACCATGGGGAAAACAGTCATAAGTCAAAAAGAGCCGAGGTGGCGCAGTGGTTAGGGTGCAGTACTGCAGGCCACTTCAGCTGATTGTTATCTGCAGTTCAGCGGTTCTAATCTCACCGGCTCAAAGGTTGACTCAACCTTCCATCCTTCCGAGGTGGGTGAAATGAGGACCCAGACTGTGGGGGCGATATGCTGACTCTGTAAACCGCTTAGAGAGGGCTAAAAGCCCTATGAAGCGGTATATAAGTCTAACTGCTATTGCTATTGCTATAAGTCACTTTTTTCAGTGCTGTTGTAACTTTGAACAGTTACTTAATGAACTATTGTAAGTTGAGGACTACACCAGTATTCAGATTCTATTTGCTCTTCTATCTGTAGCCCTAACATATAAGACTCACATAGATGCCACAGTTTGGTATTTCTCAGCTGCCTTGAGCCTCTGAATGAATGACGGGATAAAAATCTAATCCATAAATAAACCAAATCATTTAAAAACCTAGTGCGGTTTCATGAATACAACACACCAAGCTAAGTTAATGTTAACATTGGGGAGAGTTTGGGATTTTTTTGTGGGGGGGACAAGAGTTGACTGGATATGGCATGCAATCCCTGACCATTTAGTTAATATATTTCAAAGTATGAGGTAAACCCAGAAACTGGGTTAATTCATCAACCAGGTTAAGAATGTTGTATGAGTGCAGCCATGTCATTTCAGGTAAGAACACTGAAGTTTGCCGTATCCCATAATTCCTAAAGTAAGTTCAAAAAACTGGGCACTATTTTTATTCTGCCTTTTATCATTTAAACTTATCATGTTTTCTCAGCAGCCATTCCTATTATGAAAGAAATTAAATTCAAGCTATTCAAGCAATCAGACACTGCTTCCCCAAAATTGGAATGCTTTTTATTTCTCATGTCTAAACCTCACATCACCCAATTTTATTTCCCTGATGTCTTCTAGAAGTGTGATTCCTGTTGTGTGGACAATTAATCCAAAGATGCAAGAGATCAAACCAGATTCTGATCTTGTACTCTCTTCCACCCCCATTCTCTGCCCCTTGAACAGAAAGCAACCACCTCCTACCTATCACCATTCCATCCAAGATGCTGGAGCCTTTATGTTGCACTTGATTGTTGCCCAAAGATTGTGGGAATTGATCATAAGACAATCAGTTGGGGAAATATGGTTTCATGGACTCTCCACTTAGTGCTATTTTCCATGAGTGTTCTTACTAACTTTGGGGGAAAATTTTGGAAAAGGCAGGAAAGCATCATCCTGGTTGTCAAGAACAACTTGTTGTTTCCAGCTTGCAATGTTAGTCTGGTTTCAGATTGTCTTTTGTGAAAAAATGGGGGCGCAGACAAAGCGGGATGAAGAGGACTCCTTCTCACTCCCATTCAGTTTTTTCTTATTTGGGATAGGCAAAGAATGAGTCCTTCAGTACAAAAGATGCGCCCAATTTTCAGCAGAAGCTCTTGGCCAGCTCAAGAGTTTCAAACTTCTTCCAGCTCAAATTCCCAGGAGAAGAGTCCATGAAACTGGTGACATGAAGAAACCATTCCATGAGCTATGGTGGCACAGTGGTTAGAATGCAGTACTGCAGGCTAACCCACTGCTCACTCCAGCAGTTCGATTTCCACTGGCTCAAGGTTGACTCAGCCATCCATCCTTCTGAGGTCAGTAAAATGAGAAGCCAGATTGTTGTGGGAAATATGTTGACTCTGTAAACCACTTAGAGAGGCTGTATGAAGCAGTATATAAGTCTAAGTGCTCTTGCTCTTGCTGTCCCAGATAGCAGGCAGAACTTCAAGCTCTGCCCTCATCCTCACAGTTGCACTTCCAAAGCAAGAGTGTTTGAATCACTTGATCAGTTTGATCCTTAAGAATACTTCCTTTACAAATGGTCTACAAAGCTACCTTTCTGAGAAATTTGGACTTAAAGCCCTGGGTCCTGATAGACACTGAACAAGGTTCCTGACAAAATCAGTTGTCTTTTATTAGCTTTTTACTAACTCAGGATCACATCAGATCACAAGTTCCTGAAGGTTAGGGGGCAGAGTGGAGATGGGAAGTGCTTTGTTCTATGAAGCAATGACAAGATCACAGCGTGGTTCTAAAGATGCTCTATTAACTAACTCTGGTAACAGAATAACTGACAGGAGGTGCCTGACAGCTATTTATATGGAGGCTGTCAGGCGAGCAATCAATCAAAAGGCTGTGATTCTCCTGCCTGAAAACAGGCGCGCCGCAGCCAATGGGAACAGTTCTGGAAGTCTTAAACTTGCACTGGTCGTAAGTTCGAGGACATGATACTCCTTCCCCCTGGAGCACGCATGCATAGACTGCTAAATAGGTGGGGTGACTGTGCACCCGCCCAGACCTCTTCAGTTCCTGAGTGGTTGTCGCAGGAGGAGGAGTGTCACCATTAACCGGCGGCTGAATCAACTCTGGTGAATCAACATCAACTGAAAACTCTGACCCCGAGGCCAAAGCTGCCTGTCCAGGTAAGTTCTCCGCCGAGATCATCTTGGGTGTTGGTGTCGGCATGTCTGGAACTGGGGAAGTGGTAGGTGGCGTCAGGAATTACTTCGGCATCAATTCTGGTCAGAAAACTCTGGCCTTCGTCTGGCAGGTGGTGGTGCAAATGGTTTGCATGGCGCCGCCATAGTCATCCGTCATCAAGCTGGATCCTATAAGAATAGGGTCCGGTTATTTGAGTCACTCGCCCCAGCATCCACTTAGGGTTTCTCGTAAAGCTCTGAGCAAATACCCGGTCCCCAATCTGGAAAGACCTAACTAGGCTGGTCCCACTCTGGGGGTCCACTGGCACATATGAAGGATGTAATCTGTCCAATGTGGTGCACAATCAGCGGCCCATGAGGATCTCTGCCGGGCTTTTCCCCATGGCCTGGCATGGGGTGGTATGCTGCACTAAAAGGTAGGAAGCTAATTTAGATTGTAGATTTCCTTTGTCTAAATGGCCTATAGCCTCTTTCACTGAACGAACAGCCTGCTTGGCAAGGCCATTCCCTGCAGGATGATAGGGAGCCACCAGGGCATGCCTGATGCCCAGGGTGGCAAGAAAAGTTTGGAACATGGCAGAAGCGAATTGAGGCCCATTATTGGATACTACCGTATCCGGTAGATGATGTGTGAAAACAAAGTTGAGGGAACCTGAATAGTGGCATCGGCAGTGGTAGAGATCATAGGGAACACTTCAATCCATTTAGGTAGGGCATCTACAACTACAAGCAAGGTGTGTCCCGCTATAGGACCCGCGAAATCCATATGGATTCACGACCAAGGGCTCCTGGGTAAATCCCAATCTCTTACAAGGGCTGTTGGAGGGGCTGGATGGGACTGTTGGCACGGTCGGCACCGCTGTACCCAAGCAGCTATGTCCCCATCCATGTTATAAGCCAATAATAGGAATTGGGTTGCCCCGATAGTCCTTAAGACGGCAAGGGCAGGTGGACAATTGATTTTGATTGATGGAACGTAAGATTTTGCGGTGCATGTCCCAGGAAACGATGGACTTGGCCGATCCTCTGTCCAATTCAATTCGACAGTGCTGCCCTTCAATAGTCACGTTGAGGTGAATTTTAGACCTGTTATGGTGGCTGGTCGTGGCCAAGCTGATAGATCAGTCACTGAAAACAGTCTCCGTCAGAAACGGCGAGGCAGTCTTTGTGAGGCTTGTAGGTGCGATCACGGTGGCGGCCACTGGTTTTATCGTTGGCGGGAGCCTGGAATGGCAGAGGTGTGTGGCACACTTGGGCTAAATGTCCTTTTTTGCTGCAGCACCGACAGACCACGGACTTAAATTTGTTTTCCTCCGCAGCTCAGGCAACCTTTCCCTGGNTTTCTTCTTTCCTTCTTGCCTGAAGGATAAGAAAACCTGATAAGACGTCAGATGGAAGATCCTCTAAACAGGTACGTAGCCAGGAATTCGGA